GATATCGTAAGTTAGTGGCCACCAGACATTAGCTGCTAAAGATTTAGATATTTTTGGAGGATTGGAGGCCAAGACAACTGGAGAAAGGTCTGTTCTGTGGTTTTGATGGGCCCCTGTTCTTGTTGGAAAGATGTGATAGCATTTATCACAAAGTAAGAGATAATGACTGAAGTACATGAGTCCTCCCCACCCCCATCCTAGGGCTTTTTGGATAAAGGAAAGCCAGATCCTTTCTTACTTTCCCAGTCTTAGAACATCTGTCAGACTTATCTGTAGCTTCCTGCTTTCCAGTGATGTGAAACCGGTTCCAGGAAGTTTCTCGTGCCCGGCAGCAGGTTTACCCGGGCACCGGAGCCCTCTGACCTCTGACTGGAGACACTTTAGCACTGTGGCTTTCTGGCTTGCAGATGATGACCACTGGATCATCGACACAGACTATGACACGTATGCCGTGCAATACTCCTGCCGCCTTCTGAACCTCGACGGCACCTGTGCCGACAGCTACTCCTTCGTGTTTGCCCGGGACCCCCATGGGCTGCCCCCAGAAGTGCAGAGAATCGTGAGGCAGAGGCAGGAGGAGCTGTGCCTGAGCAGGCAGTACAGGATGATCATTCACAATGGTGAGTGGGCACGGAACGGGCGCGGGACAAGCTCGCCCGGGGGGCAGCCAGCAGTGAGGTGGGACCTGCCTGCCAGCAAAACCTATTTCATCTGCATCCAGGAGGGAACAAGGCATCTTGGGATTCCCTGGCCTGAGCTCAAATCTCAGCCCATCATGACCCTTCTCCTAGGGTGGATGCAGAGGGAATGGAGGGAGGCCTTTTTCCAGAACTCTGGCATTTGTTTAAGTAGAACTGCAGGGGACATTTTCCCTTTGTCCTATTCCTTTTATTACAACCAGTCTGTGGTCCCACAATTATGCCTGTGGCTGTATGCTTCAACCAGCCGTTTTGACTGAACTCATATCATTTGGGGAGTCCTTGGGTGGTACAAACTTTTAACATGCTCTGTGCTAACAGCAAGGTTGAAGGCTCAAGTGTACCCAGAGGTGCCTTGGAAGAAAGGCCTGGTGACCTACTTCTGAAAAGCCAGCCATTGAAAACCCCACGGAGCACAGTTCTACTGGGACACACATGGGGTTGCCATGAGTCAGGATCGACTCAATGGCAACTGTAACTGGTAAATTGTTTGCGGATCAAGTGGCCCCAGCAAAGAGCTGGGCAGCAAATGTGGCCATTGATGTCAAAACGAAAACAAATACTAAATTGAATAGAAATACCAACAAAGCAAGTTCAGAAAAGAATGATTTCAAGAAGCTTTCTTTTTCTGTATGAAACTGCATAACCACTTTCTTTTTCTTTTTCATTGAACTGACTTGCTGGTTTTCTTCCTTTACATTTTTTGCGGTCACCATAAGTTGGCATTGACTTGACAGTAGTGGTGTTTTGTTTTTTTTTCCAGTAACATAGGCTCTTTTATAGATAATACCCTTGTCTTTTCTTGATTTAAAAACCAGAAATATTATGGATGAGGTTATGCAATCTCTTTTGAATTGACACTCACACACTCCTGTGGAAAACTGGGTTTCAGAATTCACCTAGGGTAATGTTCAAATGTAGTGAAAAGAGAACAACACTGAAATTTTCTGCTGTTCGTCTAACTAGTTGATTCACACTACACAAAACAGGTATTTGTAATATGAACCACACCAAAAAAGTTATTTAAGTAACTTTATGAGGAGCTCTGGTGGTGTAGAGGTTAAAGTATTTGGCTGCTAACTGAAAGATCAGCAGTTCGAACCTACAAGCTGCTCTGCAGGAGAAAGATGAGGCAGTTTGCTTTCATAAAGATTTATAGTCTTGGAAACCCTATGGGGCAGTTCTACTCTGTCCTATAGGGTCATATGAGTCAGAATCGACTCAATGGCATTGGGCTTGGTTTTGCCTTTGGTTTGATGCTTCATGCTGAGGGCAGATGAATATAGGGCAGGTAAGTGCACCTTTCTACGTACTCTCTTGTTTAAGCCTCAGAAACATTTGTGGTGTTGTTGTTGTTATGTGCCATTGAGTCGGACCCAACTCATGGCGACCCCTCCTTGGGTTTCCGAGGCAGTATCACTACGGAAATAGATTGCCTCATCGTCCTTCCGAGGAGTGGCTGGTGGGTTTGAACCGCCAGCCCTGTGATTAGCAGTCAAGTGCCTTAGGCATCTGTAAGTAGATAATATTATGATCCACACCCTACAAGGGAGGAAATAGACTAAGAAAGTTGCCTGAGATCTTCAATAGGTAGCTGAGTTGTATACAAACCTAAGTCTTTGCAATTCTCAACTCCTTTGTGATACCACCTGGTGACACATGGCATGGGACAAGGTGAACAACCTATAAAACAATCAACAGTGTGGCCAAGATCTTGGCCCCTCTCTTCCTGAAACGGAAAAGTGCTCTCACTTGAAATGCACTGAGGCAAAAAAAAAAAAAAAAACCCATAAATATTTCATTAAGATGGTACTTCATACAGCTGACCATAGTCTCCCAGTCCCAACTGCCACTACCAGAAATTCAGAGGATTTCAGTTAACAGCCTTGAGGCCACATCTAATTTCTGGAAATGGAATCCATCATGACCTTATAAGAAGCATCTGACTGAAGCTGAGTTCTAAGGACATCATGATATTCATTACCTACAGTGAGCTGTAGGCCCGTCTTTCTGTCACTAATGGCTTTTTCCCCTATGTTTCAGGTTACTGTGACGGCAAATCAGAAAGACACGTTTTGTAGCCACATCATGGATGTAAAGTTCCATTTGAAAACTTTCCATCAACTGTCATTCAGTCTTCAACTCTATTTATCTTTGGATCTTAGTTTAAACGTCCCTCTCTTTCCTCATCTTTCCTCAGTAAATACAAAACCCTTGGGACATATAAAAATACATGTGGGGAAAAGTGAATCCATTTGTGGCCAAATGTGTATCTTTTACTGGAGTTTTTTGAGGAATAATTGGAGGCCTAGGTTCCAGACTTTGATTTATTAAAATAGTCACATGTTTCCTATGACTTGAGTTTTTATTTGTGTTCCTGTCTGTATCAAGGTAAGAAGTCCTGCAAATGGTCGAGTGGGGGCACATTTGTATATAAGAAAGCTGTTCTTCTTTCAAGGCATTTCATAACCTTTGGCCTGTTCTATGTTCTGATCTGTTCTAATCTCCATTATTAATGACTGTGGCTACTCTCAACTTCCTGAAAAAGGGCCTTTATTCAGGAACCCAGGAAGGCACTAACCACCAGTCTGGCTAAGGCACCAAGGCCAAAAGAGGAAGTGAATGCAGGCCACGCCAGTGGGCCTGAGGCCTCAGCCCCAGGCCTGTAAGGTGGGCAGGACTGCAGTGGGCTCATCCAGATAGATTTATAGGAAGAAAGGTGAAGCTGAGACACATGGGTCAGGGCAAGCTCTGAGAAATACCCCCAAGCCCCTTATGGTCTCTAGCACTTAGCTCACATCTTACTATTTTAGCTGTAGCTTAGAGTCAAAGAAGGAGAGGCCTTTGACTTCCCTGAGGGAAGAAGGAGGGGTTGGATACCTGGAAGCCAAAGCTGTGGGAAAGATCACAGCGCCCCCTCTACCTGGACTGTGCAGAGAAGGCCATAGGCAGGGGTGGAAGTAGCCTGGACTGGGATAGGATAACAATGTCCCACCCCATCTGCAGCCCCTGTGAACATTAGTAGGTGCTTAAAAACCAAACCAAACTCACTGCGGTTGAGTCAGTTCAACTCACAGAGACCCCTCCTTGGGTTTCCGAGGCAGTATCTCTACAGAGGTAGATTGCCCAGTCTTCCTCGTGTGGAGTGGCTGGTGGGTTTGAACCGCCAGCCTTCCGGTTAGCAGTCAAATGTCTTAGGCACTACACTACCAGAGCTCCTTAGTAGGTGCTTGGGTGATGCAAATGGTTCATCCTTGACTACTAACCTAAAGGTTGGGAGTTGGAGTCCAACTAGCAGTGCTATGAAAGAAAGGCATGACAGTCTTCCATGAAGATCACAGCCAAGGAAACCCTATGGAGGACTCCCACTCTGTGACACACGGCGTCACCATGAGTTGGAGTTGAGTCAACAGCAAGAGGTTTGGCTTTATCTGTGGGAAAAGAAGGACACGAGTATATAAGCACATGCAAAGCTATTTGCCTTAGTTTCCCATAAGTTCCCAAGAGCCTCAGTTTGTCTCCTGAGTTCCCCGGAGCCTCAGTTTCTAATCTTGAGAAGCAAGCCTTTGGCATCAGAGAGTTCAAGTCAAATACATATATATCCAAATGAAACAACCAAAATGGGAATAATGAGTGTTGACACATTGTGAGAAAGATAACCAATATTGTTGATCATTTGTGTAGACATTGTTAAGTGGTAAGATAATTTGTTACACAGACTTTTACTGAAAACAAAATATTTCCCCCAAAAAAGTAATAAATATATGCCCAGCTCAGATATATATTAGCTTTCCTCTAATGGGGTTTGTGGCTCTTTCTTTAAAAAAAAAAACAAAAAAAAAAACTACTTTAATTGTTCATTAGAAATTCCTCAAGCACTCATCCACTCTTGACATCTATAAATAACCCTGAGGCCTTACAAATCCAGGGGGCCTAGAGTGGCTGTCACTTTTCAAACAAGAAATCTGGGGCCTGGGTCAGTTCCAAGCCTCACTTAAAAAACCAGGAAGGCTTTATATGTAGATGTGATTGCTGAGCATTTATAAATAAAACTTTATTAAAGTTAATTATATTACAAACACACTAAATAAGTTCATATTTAAAAGGAACCCACAGCAAATCCTTTTGAAAAGGAAATATAACGTTGAATGATCATCCCTCAATTTATCATTGTTGTAAATATATATTTGCAAATGTTAAATTTTCTTAAAGCAGAGTACATTTGTATGATGACCCTGAAAATTAGCTCCCTTTGAAAACAGCTCATAGTGAGAAAACTTTGCCTAAAGAAAAAGAAATTAATTAGCTGGAAATAACAGATAAATCATTTCTTCTTACAGATGTGTCTGTAAAAATGGCTCCCTTTTCTGTGAACAAGTAGCAGCGAATAATTTTCCTCCATTCGTTCCTAAATAGTGACATGTTATAGAGAATGGGGTTTAGGGCTGAATTGGCAAACGTGAAGGCCACCACCCAGAAGAAGAGGGACGGCCAGATGACGAGGTCTTGCTGGAAGTTCTGGATCAGGATGAGGAGGATGGTGATGATGATGGGGCTCCACATGATGAAGAAGGAGATCATGAGCAGGAAGAGGGTGCGGAAGAGCCGGAAGTCCTGCTGGGACACGCGGATCTGGTGGCTCTCGGAGTATGCCAGGCTCATCGTGAGCCGCCTCCTGGACGCCTTCGTGATCTGCGGGAAAGTGAAGCAATCCAGAGCTACAGCTCATGAGGGAACACTAAGGGCTTTTCTTTTAGGAGGAACAGAGGGTCCAGGAGTTGGTATCTGCAATCCTGGCTATACAGAGGCTCTCTGGCTTTGAAACTTTGTGGGGAGTGAACTCATTGCCAGACGCCTGGTACACTGCTCACACTCGGGGTGCTGAAAAAAACATGGCACCTGACTGGCCTCCAGGAGCTCTGGTGGTGCACAGTCAAATCACTGGGCTGCCAACCAAAAGGTTGGTGGGTCGAACCCACTAGCCACTCTGTGGGAGAAAGGCCTTAAAGGTTTTACAGCCTTGGAAATGCTATGAGGCAGTTTTGCTCTATCCTATGGGGTCACTATGAGTAGGAGGAATTCACTCGAAGGCAGTGGGTTTGGTTTTTGTTGGCTGGCATCCTGAGAGATCAGCAGAAAATAATCCACACCGGGAACAAAGGTGATGCGGGGAAGTGAAAAGTCTGAGATGGGTGGTCTACAAAAGAAGGACATGTGAACAGAAGCACATCTTTCCTGTTGCTCCTTCTTTAAAAATCAATTGTATAAAAGTAGTATGTGCTCAAGATACAAACTCAAACAATATACTGAAGGGAATCAAATGAAACATTTAAGGCATCTAACCTCCTACATCCTCCATTTCAACACCCTAGAGGTGACCAACTAGACAGTTTTCTGTATGACCTTCTGAAAATGCTCTACATTCCACGTGCATACCTGGCTATGGCATCATAGCTGTCTGTATTTTTGCTTTGTACACAAATAGGATCATACCATGCATCTTGCTTTGAAGCTTCTTTCTTTTTTACTTAACAGTATACCTTGACTGGCTGGGTGAATCTCACCCATCCTGGTCCTGTCTTTTTGCCTAGTTTAAATTGTCCATTAGGCACTGTCTGAGGGAGAAGGCCTGGTTGTCAGCTTTCACCCTTCACCTTCCCCAGTGCCAAAGTGGTGGTGGTGAGAAGGAAACTGGATGAGTGGGGGTGGGAGGGCTGGCGAGGGGTGAGAGGGTGGCAGGTAACTTGTACAGTGAGGCAGCCGGGGCCTGTCTGGTGCACAGCTCACCTGGTGTGTAATGGAGAATGGTACCTGTTGGCCTGACATGCTTTATTCCATCCTGTTACTGCTTAGCCCAGGTAAAGACCCGATTCAGACTGTCTGATCATACGAGTGGGCCCTTGTTAACTCCCACTTCCTTAGTCTGGCCATGTGTCCTTCCGCTTTTTCTGGCCGCTGAACGGGTGCTTGTGTAGTCTGGAGACAAAATGTCTTAGGAATGTCATTGTGAGCTCTGTGCTTGCCTTCCTTGGCCCATTCCCCTTAGATTCCTGAATCTCAAGAGGGGAAGTAATTAGAAGGTAATTGGCATCACTCATAATTTGCACCAATGTAACTCCAAGACCAGCTTGGCTTCAGATACTCTCCTTGGAATATTTCTAACTAGCTAACTGAAGGGCAGGAGTCCCTGAGGGGTGCAAATGGTTAGCTCACTCAGCTGCTAACCAAAAGATTGGAGGTTCAAGTCCACCCAGAGTCATCTTAGAAGGGGCTGGTGACATAATTAAAGAAAAAAAAAAACAGCCACAGAAAATCTACCCTGACACACATGGGGTGGCCATGAGTCAGAACTCATTTGATGGCAACTGGTTTAACTGAAAGATAGCCATTTACTTGGTTTATGATTAAATGGATTAAATTGGAGCTCTGGTAGCACAGTGCCTAAGGCACTTGACTGCTAACCAGAAGGCTGGTGGTTCAAACCCACCAGCCACTCCTCGGAAGGAAGATGGTGCAATCTACTTTCATAGTGGTACTGCCTCGGAAACCCAAGGAGGGGCCGCTATGAGTTGGATCCGACTCGATGGAACATAACAACAACAACAACAATACGATTAAATGCAATTGCTTGCTTGCTTCTGTGCAGTTGAGGTCCACCTCCTGGTGATGGAGATGAGGCAACAGATGCTGAATGAACAAGCCCCCCTCCCCGCCTGCTCCCAACAACAACAAGAATAAAAACACTAGTCAGGACAGCTGAGCTTCACTGACCCCTCCCTGTGTGTCTTATAAGTTGTTGCATTTCATCCTCATCAACTACTTTTGAGTGTGTGCTACTATTACTCCTATTTCACATAGGAAGAAATTGACTTGTTCAAGGTCATTCCACTAATAACAAATGGTCAAAGCTCCCATCTGTAGAAATCAAGTTCAGTTGAGCTAAAGATTAACCAAAACTAAAAACCAAACCCACTGCCATAGAATCTATTCCAATTCATAGTCCACCTAATAGATTCCGACCCATAGCAACCCCCATTGGTTTTCCAAGGCAGTAAATCTTTACAGAAGCAGATTGCCCCATCTTCCTTCCACAGAGCAGCTGGTGGGTTTGAACTGCCAGCCTGGTTAGCAGTCAAATGCCTTAGGCACTACACCACCAGAGCTGCTTAGTGATTAACTGTCTTCAGGGTAAAAGGCTCCAAAGGTGTTGCCAGACTAGTCATTCCTCCCATCTACTGCATGCTTTGCAGGCTGAGAGATACTTAGGAGGCATAACCCACTATCTTGGGCTCATAAGCTGGTGGTAGTATGGTACATCCAAGTCTGGAAGTGCTGCGTAGAATGAAATTTAGAACTTATGTTCAGGTGAAAACTGTTGTTATGGATTGAATTATGTCCCCAAAAAGTTATGCTGAAGTCCTAACTCCTGGCACCTGTGAACATGCCCTAATTTGGAAATAAGATCTTCAAAGATGATTCAATTAATATGAGGTCAAACTAGAGTAAATTGGGTCCTAATACAATCTGAGTTGTATTCTTATTAAAGAGAAGAGGCAAGCAAGACACACAGGAGGGAAGATGTCATGTGACTACAAAGGCTGGCATGGAGTTATGCTGCAGCTACAAGCCCAGGAATGTCTGGAGCTACCAGAGACCAGGAGAGAAAGAAAGGATCTTGTAGAGCCTTTCGAGAGAACTTGGGCCTGCAAGTACCTGAATTTGGCCCTCTAGCTCTGGTGGTATAGTGTCTAAGCCGTTTAACTGCTAACCAGAAGGTTGGCGGTTCAAACCCATCAGCCACTCCTCGGAAGGAAGAGGGGGCAATCTACTTCCGCAAAGATTTACTGCCTCAGAAACCCAATAGAGGTTGTTATGAGTCAGAATCAACTCGATAGCAGTGAGTTTGTTTTTTTTTTTTGGTGATCCTCCAGAAAGGTGAGACAATGTTTCTGTTGTTTGCAGCCACCCACTTTGTGGTGTTTTGTGTGGCCACCCTAAGAAATTAAGAGAGCTGGTTAAGCTGAGGAGACAACATTGGCCAACAGATCTGGGAGAGGAAAGTGACCAGCTGGGTAGGGTGGCAGGTAAGTGGGCTGCAGTGGATTTGGCACTGCCCCTCAGTAGGGGCATCATCAAAGTGCAGCCTGTTGGGCATGTGAGGGCTGATTCCAACAGCACTCTCTTCCCTCTAGCTGCCCTCTTTGTTTTGCCAAGATGGATGACAATGTATCCGGAGTTCCTGGTTGAATGAATGAATTGACGGAAGCTCATATTTATTAAGCACCTACTGTGTGCCAGGCCCTCTACATGGCACTTGGATCATCTCTTTAAATTCTCCCAACATTCCTGTGATGTATGTCTGTCTTTTTTTTTTTTTTTTTTTAACTTCTTATTGTGATTTGGGTGAAAGTTTACAGAGCAAACTGGGTTTCCATTCAACCATTCATACACCTTTGGATTCATGGCATTGATTGCAATCCTCACAATGTAATAGCACTCTTCCCACTTCCTCTGTGATTTTACCATTTCCATTGGACCTTCTTTCCTATCCCTTCCTGCCTTCTCAGCTTTATCCCTGGGCAAATGCTGCCCTTTTGATCTTGTATGGTTGGTTGGTCTAAGGAGTGCATACCTCCCTGGCGTTACTGTTCACCTATGGTATATGTACTTTTATGATCCTCATTTTACAGATGAAGAAATTAAGGCTCAGAGAGGTTAAGGAACTTGCCCAACATCACCCTACTAAGGAGCTGTGGAGTTGGCCTTCAAGGATTGGCAGTCGGACTCCAGCCCACACTCTTCCATTTTGAGTCGGTCCCTTTCCACCCTCCACTACCTCTGTCAGTGGAAATCATCTGTCCAGCCTTTAACTCCAAGTCTAATGCCATGAATTCTGATAAACCTTCCTGGTTATCTCCTCCTTGGCACCCTACAACTCTTTTCTTAGTGCTTGCTGGGCACTTGCCACATAGACTGTGTGGTAGCTGTTGATGTGTTAGTTTCACACCTGGCTCCAGCAGACTGCAGATTCTTTGGGGGCTGGGACCATAAATGGGGTATCCTTGTGCCCACTGTGAGCCAGGGCTCTGGCAGGTGCCTGATAACAACTGTGACTGAACAGACAGACTAAATGGGCTGACTCATGGGCCAAGTGCATAAGTGTTTGGGTCTTTTTTTAGCACTGACAGATGCTGCCGTTTCCTTCTCTCCACAGTTCCCATAACTTGTGGGGGATAAGGAGGGAAATGGGGCCTTTGTAATCAAACATGGCTCCTCCCTTGCTCTGTGACCCAGATGGCAAGACTAATTTACAATAATAAATTTTTAAAAAACTCAGCAAACCAGTAGCTGTAGAGTCAACTCTGATTCCCGGTGGCCTCAGAGGGGTCAGAGTAGGAATGTGCTCCAGAAGGTTTTCAGTGGCTAATTTTTCAAGAGTAAGTTGCCAGGTCTTTCTTCCAAGGAAACTTTTTGTGGACTCAAACCTCCAACCTTTTGGTTAGCAGCAGGAACATTAACTATATGCAACACCAGGGACTCCAGGTAACATTTAATCAGGGCTTAGAATGTCTCCGACATTGCACTTCGTGTGCTTTTACGTTAAATTAAATGTTCAATTGACTTTTGAGAATTAACTTTAATCCTCAAAACAAGCCTACAAAGCAAGTTCTAGCATTACCACCACCCCCACC